AGTATTATTGATTATATATAGTCATGTAGTGATATATACGGTTATATAGATTTGCATATAGTTTTTGTAGAGTTTTTGAATATTTTTAGTTATATAGTGATATATACTGAGCCAATTTGTATAGATTTGTAAGTGCTTTTATGTAAAAATTTTGCTCGTTATATTTATTTATTTTATAAATTCGTTATAAAAACAACATTAATCATTGCTATATATGTACGCACGCAGTTCAAATTTTTCGTAGATAATACAAAATAGTTTGAAACCACACCTTGCTTGACATCCGATTCCAAGCCGAACTAAGCCAGCTGAGCCAATATGCGATGATTTATGAGCGCTTTAATGTTAAAATTTGGATTTTATAAAGTTATATAGTGTTATATTTAGTTATATAGATTTAATTTTAGTTATATGGAGTTATTCTTTATCTATAGTCATATAGGGATATATACTGCTACTTTGATTTATATATAATTATATAATGTTATATAGTGATATATACGGTTATATAGATATATAGTTATGTAAAGTTATTCATTATATACAGTTATATTATGTTATAAACGGTTATATAGATTTATATAAAGTTATCTGTGTTATTGATTATATATAGTTATGTAGTGATATATGCAGTTATATAGATTTATATATAGATGCATTGTGTTATTGATTATATTAGTAATATATACGGTTTTATTGATTTATATATAGTTATGTAGAGTTCTTGATTATATATATTTACATCGTGTTATATACTGTTATATAGATTTATATAGTTATGTAGAACTAATTGATTATATATAGTTATATAGTGTTTTATACGGTTATATAGATTCATATATATAATTATATATATATAGTGTTATTGATTATATATTGTTATACAGTGATATATACGGTTCTATTGATTCATATATAAATTTGTAGAGTTAATGATTATATATAGTTATATAGTGATATAAAAGGTTATATAGATTTATATATAGTTATATGGTTCTATTGATTAGATATTATAGTTTTATAGTGTTATATAATGTTGTATGGATTTAAAGATAGTTATGTACAAATATCGGTTATATATAGGCATATAGTGTTATGTACGGTTATATAGATTTATATATAGTTATATAGTGTCTGCGGTGGTTTGGTCATTTCAATTCAAACGAAGTAGAAACAGTGCCATAACTTCTCTTGCAGATGTTGAAGTACCTGGCACACGTCCCAAAGGCCGTCCAAAGAAGTCCTGGTCGCAAACAATCGAGCAAGACATGAAAGCTCTAAATTTAAATGAAATGGATACAACTGATCGTCTAATTTGGCGCAAAAAGTTGATGGCTAAGAAAACAACGTTCTACCTCGGGGAACCGGGTCTCTGGACGCAAAACGAAGATTGATGAATGAATGAATGAATAAATAACATAATTATAGTACACTAGTTGATCATAAAATTATTACAAAACAATTTCCACAACGCTAACTCCTATGTAACATGGAGAACAATAAATAACCTGGTATTAAATAAATAAGCAGTTGAATCAACAACAACATCATCATCAACATCATCACCACCATCATCAACAACATCATCACTATCATCAACAACAACAGCAACAACAACAACAACATCATCATTATTATCATTAACAACAACAACATCAATATCATCATCAACAACAACATCATTATCATCATCATGAATCCAGCCATTAAAATTTAAAACACCCAGCACGTTATCAGCATCAAAGACTGTATTAGGAGAGGAAAAATTAGCATGACAAATTTAAGCTGTAGCAGTAGCGACAGCAGCAATTGCTGCTTCAATTGACGTAGTAGCAGCTGTAGTAGCAGCTACAGAAGCAGTTTTAGTAGCAGACGAACCATCGGCGAGTTTAAAGATAGCCTCTCGATCCATCCTGAAGAGATGCCAGTCTTGGGTTGTAGTCAGGTTGACGGCTCCAAGTTTTTCGTAGTAATCGATGCTGCTTCGATTCCAGGAGAGAACCACAAAATCGATCCGGCCACACGACTCTGAAGCTGCCACCTGCCAGGTTTCAACGTCTCAATTTAACGTTATCACTCTGTATATTCCTATCTGCGATGCATTGCAAATATACAATCAGGTTCGTTTATAGGTAGGTTACTGAGATTGAAGGGGAGATATGAAACTTAACAAAATGCACACCATCCTTTCTTTGATTGATTCATATTTTTAACCTACTTTCAACTTGAATTCACCCAATTTGATTAATTTATTCATCTATCTCTATTAGATCTAATTTAATTGCTAAACTATATGAGTCGGAGAAGACCACAAACAAGCAACAAACGAATACAAATCAAATGAACAAAATGACGAATGTTCATTAAATAATATAGCAATTATATTTTAATCATTAAATTAAAATAATCAATTAATTAAATAATTAAGCAATTATAAATTAGGACGATTAAAAGCGGACTTGGGCGACATTTCTGAGTAGGGATGTGCCGATACCGAGTGATCGGTATTGCTGCTTGACGTAGAAGTCCTCGAGGTAGATGCTCTTCCCGGTGAACGAGGAAAATGAGAAAAAGTAAATGGCGTATCCCACCAATGTCGATGATGATGCTGGAGGTGTTGATGATAATGATGATGGAGGTGATGATGATAATACTGGAGGTGATGATGACGACGATGATGGAGGTGATGATGATGCTGATGATGGTAGTAGAGGTGATGATGATGATGGAGGTGATGATGATGATAACGATGATGAGGAATTACCCAGTTGTGTAACAATTTGAAATAAGATAAGCATTAAACTATTCATATAATAATTCTACACACGGTTGAGAATGAATGCTATCAATATCGATGCTAACTCTTTCTATGAACAATAATTGTGAAGCTTGGCAACAAATAAATTTCGAAAATAGCGGAATAAAGAAAAATGAATTCACTTAAAATTTTTTCAGAATTTACTGGGAAAAGAACACCTTCTTTTTTCAGTTCAGCAACAAAACATCTGAAAACTGGATTGGGTCCGAAGCCATCTTCTATTAATTCTGAAAAAAATTAAAACATACATTTTAATAAGGACTAACTCTGTTTGTTTGATCTTTCATCCATTCACTCACCCATTCATTCATTAATTCATTCATCCATTCATTAATTCATTCATTTATCCATTAAATCATTCATTCATTTAGTCATTTATTCATAGTAGGTTTTTCAATTAATTAATTAATTAATTAATTAATTAATTAATATTAAATTAGTAAGTACTTAATATTACGTATTAGCATTGTATAGAAACATGAAATGTACATAAATGTAGGTTGGTCCATAGAAAAAAAAAACATGTTAGACATCAGGAAATTTATGAAAAAAAAAGATATAAAATATATCATTTCTTAAAATTTAAATAAAAAAAAAAATAAAATAAAACAAATAAATAAAACAGCAGACTCTCTTCTGTCAAAGTGACAATATGAAGCAGGTTCTCATACACGGACAGTTCCTTTAGTTAGAGTTAAGAGAAAAAGAGGAATTTATAAAAATAAAATTAAATTAATAAATACATATATTAATTAATTAGTTAATTAATTAATTAGTTAATTAATATTATTAATTTTTTAACAATATGGTAAATACATCATAAATTCATATATGTAAGATTATGAGATAAGATAGCCATAGACAGCTGATAACAATATAAATATTATAAATGTATAATAAACTGAAGGCTTTTGAAGAATTCAATTTTTTAATGCAAAACTGAACAAAACCTCTTTACTTAAGAAATTTAAATTTAGTAAATAAATTGGGCTTTGTTATGTGCTTTTAAAATTTTAGTTGCAATGAATTGAATGAAAATTTATAAATTAATTTAAAATTTTAAAAAATATATATATAAAATTTTAAAAAAGTGATATAATTTTTTATCATATCTTGGAAATAATTAAGTAATTAGCAGCCCCAACAACAAGAAATACAACATCCTAGCCAACTAATGACTAATAAAGGAAACTTAATTAACTAATAAATTACTAAAAAAAAAATAAAAGTAAACTTAAAAATAACTTACTCTCTTTTATAATGGCTAATCTAAACTTTCGATTTTAAACTTAAGGTCTAAAACAAAAACCTGAGTCTTTAGTAACTAAAGTTTAGTTTTTAAATTTAAAGTTTAAAATTTAAATTAAAATAAAAGTCTAAAAGTTCTAATTTTAACCTTGATTAGATTGAATAATTCCTTGCAGTCACTTTTCACGGCAGGCCTGATTAGGACATTTTGAAGAACTTTGTCCATCGCATGCTTCTAAATTGCAATTTTTTTGTTAGTTTCCGTAAAGCAAAGTTAGATCTAGCAGGGTGGGCAGCAAAAACTACGTGCTCCAGATTTTGAAATTAGTGACAAAAGTTAATTTTAACTAGTACAAATTTAAATAAATCATGAGGAGCCTAATTTTTAACTTGCCTATTAGTACATCGCTAAACGTTGTCTGCAGTTTCGTGCCATAGCCTAGCGTAATGAGTGCATGACTGCATTAGCTGAACATTTTTTTTATTGTAACACGAAGTTTTACTGTGGCAACATGGAACGTTAGAACGTTGTACCGGACTGGAAAATTTGAAAAAAGAAATGAAAAGAATGAATATCAGCATTTAAGGTTTGAGCGAAACTCGGTGGAAGAAATCAGGTGTCATTACCATTGAAGAAGGCAAATTTAACTACTCTGGAGTAGGTTTACTGTTGAAATTTTAAAAATTGACAGCACCTAGTAACAGCTAAAATGTACCAGTAGATATTCTTAAATTAAAAATAAATTGTTGCGGGTTTGGGTCAGGGGCGTCATTTCAGATTTTGGTTGGGGGGGGGGCGAACTTATGTGGTCTATGACTTAGCATGTAACATATATATATATATATATATATATATATATATATATATATATATATATATATATATATATATATATATTTATATATATTTGGGTGGGGGGGGGGGAAATTTATGTGG